GCCAGTCCTGCAGTTTTAATATTTCTGCTCTGAGCTCTCTCTCTCTCAAACTTTCCATCTGTTTCCTTATTTCTGTAGATTTTTGTTTGCTGCTCTCCTGCAGAGTGGCTCCGAGCACTGCTATTTTTTATTTGAAAATATGGAAGATTACATAGACATTTTCTTCCTCCTTCCCTTCATTTGTGCTTGACCAAGGGGGCAGCTCTGAGGCTGCTGTGGGGTGTCACACCTTGCTGGTGTAGATGCAGATGTGCAGCAGGCAGCTTTTTTCCTGTACACCCGAGGGAGCGTGGGACTGCACCGTACGTTATCAGTTTGCTTTACTGCTGCAGCAGCAGAGGTGGAAGCAGGGGGATCTCTGGTGAAGTGCAAGAATACAAGAGGAGAGGGATTAGACACAGTGCAAAGCTTTAGTCGCTCCATGTGTGGATGCTTATGTTAATGCAATTAAGGGGTAAATGTTAATAGCGTGGTTTCAGTCTGGAGGGGGAACACTTTCACGAGGAGCTGGACAGACCCTCCAGCACAGCCAGGCTTGCAGACCTTGAACAGTTTGAAAGGGGAAGAAAGTACAACGTGAACTGCGTGCTACTGTTTTAATGTTCTGAGATAGACGATTTCATTGTAATTGCTCTTAATACTTAACTGTCGTGCCTACTTGGAACCATTACTGGCCATCACTAGGTGGCAACACAGCTGGTGGAGAGATATCCCATGCTGAACACGTGCGTAGGGAAACCTCAGGCTGATTTCGCATTGCTGGCTCCGTAGATTAGGAAAAATCTTCCTGCTTCTGTAGGTCTGTATTCCATCTGCAGCCTTCCTGAAACTTCACAGGCCTCTCACTGTGCAATTACAGGAGGATTTTAGTCTGATTATACATTAAAAACTCCCCTCTATAAAGAAATTCAAAGATCAGAGACATTTTCTTTTAAGTATTACATTGAAATTTGAACACTCCTGCTGCTTATTACAAAATGTTTCTACAAGGCACTATGGAACTCTCAGACTTTATATTTTCATTGTTAGAATTTTTTTCTTTTCTCTATTTAAACATTAAATCCGAGCATTTCACTTCCACCCTTTTTTTTCACTGAAACGTATGTTATGGAAGTTTTAATTACAGCCTGAACAGAATGCATAGTCACAAGTCATTGTTATGGATAGCATTAACAGGACTAAGAGAATCAAAACCAAACAAAAAATAAATGACATTTTTGTCCTTCAGATATGTGAAAATGTGAATGCAAATTCTATAGTCTTATTTTTTCTGATCCCCACTATTCTCTAATCTTATCAAATATACATTCCCATATTCTGAGTCAGTCTGATAAAGCAGCTTGCTATAAACAAGTTGCATTAGATTTTGTAGAGCACATTTTCCTAGTAAATCCAATTTCACAATCTTTTTCTGGTGACATATCAGCCATTCCTTAGTATATAAAATGTTCTTTGAATATTTTAACTACTGTGTTCTACAACACCACGTAGCATAATGCAGTTGTACTGTACGCTATCTTTCTTTAGACACCGTTCTTTATTGGAAATGCAGTATCGTTTTACAGTACGCTCCTTGTTTACCCTTTCAAGGCAGAGATAAGTAACGCTCCCCAGTAAACATCTCGATTACCAGCACCTGCCTTGATGCAGTGTATCTGCACAGTTAGCTTTTGATATCACTGTTTGTCTGTGAATGGAGGTGCCTCAAGGTTCATAAATCTGTATGCAGTAGTATGGGTTCTCTAACAGCAATTCATTTTAATTATGTGAGACATAAAAAGACCACCTACAGATGAGACAATACAGCTGTAAGATTCTCAAGGCTACTATGGGGAATACTTCATAACTGAAGTATGTTTTCCCAAAGGAATTATACTACCATTTGATTTAATTTTTAATTTTTACATTTTAATCAAAAATAGATCAAATGGTGGTGTTATCTCCTGGGAAACATACTTCAGATATGAAGCAATCCATGTTCCCTTTAAATATGTAAAGCTGCCATTTATGTATAACTCATGAATGACACCCTGTGTTGCAAGCAAATATCATGCGGTGATTTCTATATTGTTTCAGTAACAACACTATAATCATACACAAATACCACTACACCTGATTCTACAAAGCAAATGGCATTAAATAGTATGGACCTCAGAAGCTAATACAATATATATCTAGTGCTAAGTAAGAGCCACCATGTATTGAACATGTGCACATTAATATTGGCAGGGACCATATCCCATGGGGCAGCCAAACACCGAGCAAGTTGTTGTTCAGGTTTCTGAAAGCTATTGTTTGAAAACTCGGATTCAGAAACAGAGTTCGGTACATTATAGCAAAGAACAAAGCACAACTCGTTCAAAGCTGGATGTCGCAGTTTAGAGACCTTACACATACATTGTCACGGAATGGCAAATGGGCTTTTTAAAGTTGGTGAGGACACATTATTTGACAGAAGATGAGGTTCAGATCAATTAATGCCTATTTGATCTTCCTGGGTTTTTTTCTTCTTTTGCATGTGTTTAAAAAGAAAACAAGATGGCCAATGTTTTGCTTGCTCACTTGAGAAAGAGTTGGGAACAACTCAGGAAGAGAGAGCAACGGATGAGTCTCGGTGCCCCTTGACATGGGACATTTCCCACTATACCTGTGGATTTTCTTTTTTAGCAAGTCATTTTAGTAAACCACCTGTCTCCCCAGCAATGGAAGGTCTTTGTGCTTCTCAGAGCAGTATGTACATTTTTGCATACGCGGTGTTTATATGCAGTTATCCCAAATGGAAGTTTCATGTGTGATAAAATGTCAAGGTGTAACTCTTAATTTTATAATTACTGCCCTGGTTTTTTTTCTTCTTTTGCATGTGTTTAAAAAGAAAACAAGATGGCCAATGTTTTGCTTGCTCACTTGAGAAAGAGTTGGGAACAACTCAGGAAGAGAGAGCAACGGATGAGTCTCGGTGCCCCTTGACATGGGACATTTCCCACTATACCTGTGGATTTTCTTTTTTAGCAAGTCATTTTAGTAAACCACCTGTCTCCCCAGCAATGGAAGGTCTTTGTGCTTCTCAGAGCAGTATGTACATTTTTGCATACGCGGTGTTTATATGCAGTTATCCCAAATGGAAGTTTCATGTGTGATAAAATGTCAAGGTGTAACTCTTAATTTTATAATTACTGCCAGTAATCAAGGCAAAAGTAACATTATTAATGTGTGACTATTAACCTGCTAATACAGGCTATACATTACGTTCTCAGGAACCACTGTACGGGGTTCTCAGGAGAGATGCTGAAGTTTTAATATGCATACAGTTTTCCCAGCTAATTTAGACATAAACACCATTCGTTTTAAATATATTATTTTCAACATATACGTTGTATAAATTTGTCTTCGTGGCTAGTCAGACTGCCTTTAAACCCCACACACTAAACCCAAAATTTTGTTTTTCCATTTTTTTGGCAGTCAAGATGACAAGTTAACGTGTAATTATCATCAAATGAATAGTTAAGCGAATGCTAGTACCATAGTCTAAAGCAACTAAACCTAGTACAAAAATTTTATGTAACATAGATATATTTATTATTTTCATCAATATTACATTTATCCTACCCCTTTCACATTCGCTCTTGCTACTTCAGACATCAGACCAGGATTAATTCTCATCGTCTCGTGCTTCATCTGCTTACCTTTAAACAAAATGTGTGTACAATGCTATCCAGCCAAAATCCTGTTTGTCTATAAATAGACAGTTACTTTACCCTCAATACATGCAAGAATAGGTGACAAAAGAAGAAAAAATGCAAGCAAAAAATTATGCCTTCATCCTCCCTCCCTTGGTATCAGTATTGCTGTTCCTGGGGACAATTGTTCCTTTTCCAGGACCGTTAGCCTGTACCGCATGGCCAAGGTTAGACTTTTCCAAGGCAGGCAGTCAAAACCTGTTTTCTCCAGAAAGGAATAAATGCAAGCAAGCAATTAAGTTAATGTGTATTTATTTATCAAACAAGTTTGGGGTTTTTTGTTTTTTTTTTTTTTTTTTTTAAGATTTTTGCAGAAATGGCAAGTTAAGGTAAGGGCTTTAAAGGGCAGTGTGCACCCTGTATGTGGTTTAACATCTGCATTAAGACTGGCAGCTCCTCAGGAAGGCGTCATGCAGATGATTGCCCTGTACCTGGGCTCCTCATCAAGCCTTGTGACAACAGGCCTTCGTGGCACAAGGCAATGGACTCTCTTTTGGGATAGGAAGAGGTGAACGACCACGCTTACGTGCACACCAGCAAGCAGTCGGATCCAGCAGGTGAGCAGTCCATCGCAGCAGCTCCTGTTAAGGCCCCTACACCTACGCCATACATACTTTGGAGGTTTTACGTTGGACTAAACTCGGTCTGCTGCACTGAGCGGAAGCTGTCCAAAGGAGCAGCCCTTGGTTCAGACTCCCATGGGGAGAACCTGATGTGCAGCTGGAGTGCAGGTCCCAGGGCAGACTCATTTTGAAGGAAGCCGTTCCCTGTGCACTGAAACTGCGGTACCAACTGCAGCAAGTGGCAATGGTCGGGGGATTTGCTTCAAAACCACACTGCTATGAAGCAAAATGATAACCTAAAAAAAGCAATAGTCTAAGGAGATCACAGTTTAGATTCATGAAGGTATCCAGACACCTACATTTCTACTGAAATCCACAGGAACGTAGGTCTGATCCTCAGGTGTTCCAAGTAGGTGAGGAAAAACAAAATCTGGAGACACAGATGGAGAGGGATCAGTTGAAAAATATTAATGTTTAACTCTCTATTAAGGCAAACCTGCAGAGGAATTACTTTGTTTCAAAATATTGATTCTGCATATCATTCATACATCTGGCCCATGAGGGGGAAACACTGTGTGGGCTACACCACACAAATGAAACTGTAATATAAACTGCGAACAGTTTTTATTTACCTTTATACCTCAGTGTCTGCAGAATGCAATTCAATTATGAATGGAATAACAAAACCAGTCAATTTCATACTGTAGCCAAAGTGGTGTTTAATGCTTCTGCTTTTGTAAGTAACAATTTACAAAATACAAAGTTAAAAATATTAGATTATATCATCTCAACCTGAATTAAAAACAGACCATATGCCTCTTTTAGTATATACATGTAAATAAAGTATCACTCAGGTTATTTTGTGTACAAACCACGGTATTAGGAAATATAAAGAGTATATAATTTTATAAATATAACAAAATTTCACAGTTATACAAGGTGAAGAAAAGTCTTACAAAAATAATTTTGTGGTTCTACTGCAGATTTGACACAAATCTGCTTTAAAGAAATATTCACCTCTCCCAGCCTGCATGGCATTCATCTGTACCTATTACAGCAGCTTCATGATTCTGACTGACAAATCCTGAAACAAATTACACAGTACAGCTATTAGAAAAAATACCACGATTATAAACCTTCAATACATTAGACTATTAAACTACAATTTGTTTCCATACTGGCTGATTTATAAATGCATTCCCTACCCCATTAGAAAGCACAGAATAAGGAATCACTTCCTAGCCAAAAGATTCACTTTAAAGTTTATCCAGAAGTGTATGCATTCTCATTTGTGAAAAAATCAGAAACGATGATGTTTCTAACAGCTAAACATGTTTCTAGTCAGCTGGAGAGGCCAGTTAACACTTTAGAAGGAGTAAGACCAGCAGGTGCTCTTGCCAGGACCAAGGGAAGCAGACACAGCGACATGCAGCAGGTGCTGCTTTGCCCCGTGAAGCGATGAATGCTTGGACGTAAACGCCGGCTCACAAAGTGAGCAACACCGGTTATTTCATTTTGGGATACTTTACACAGAATATAACCGAAATGTACATCTATCCAGAATACTTTATTTATCAGCAGTAGCATTCCCAGAGACATAAGTAAAAATCTGTCCAAGTTTTTGTTAGGACTTATGGCCTCCTGCAACAAGGAAGAATCTAGAACACTAGTAAAAAGGTACAGCGCAACTACCCTTCTGCCTCCTGCCTTGAACTGCAACTCCTAGAGGTTTCTTAATTTTATTTTTTTTTGTATTGTAAGCCAACTCAAGAAAAACAGAAAGGAGGGAGCTGCTATTTTTGACAAATACTAGGAAGAGTATCCTAACACTGCACAAATGAAGTATGAGTATACACACACACTTGAATTCTAGTCATACAGGAACTGCTTCTTAAATATTGAAGATACCAATGCTTAATAAAAAGAGCAAAGTCAAGTTTAACATTCTCCTGATAGCCAATACATTTTTTTATATCAACAAACAATAGCAAAGAAAAAAATACTATTGGAAACTACTGACATTTTCATAATTTCTGTGGTACTTGATGGTCAAGGCTTAGCTATAAGGCAAGAAATGATGCCCGCAACAAAACCTGATCTAAAATACTGGTTTTGTATTTGCAAAAAGTCTTTCCATTCAATACGTGTCCTGTTTTTTGGACTCTTCCCATGCGTCTGCCTGCTACTAGTCACTAGAGCATACAGGATATTGAACTAGGTGTTCCCATTTGACCCGGGCTGGTGCTTTTGCAGTTAAGTAACTAGGAAAGATTATCCTGGACACTGAAATGTTAGGGATGCAAAAATTAAAACACTGATCAACTCTGAAGAAATAGAAAGATACAGACGGGTTTGCATAGAAATCTTTGCTAGGGAAGAAAGGCATCACATTTCTGTATCAAAAACTTTTTTTTAATACTCGCTTTTTCATTACAAATTGTGTTATGATGCAGCAGAGATGGTAACTGCCAAGTGTTTTTCATTTGTTTTCTATTCTGATGTATCATACTGACAGCAGTATAACTACGTGACAGTGGTAATTAGGATAGGCTGAAAATGAGGGGAGTTAACCTTCCGCTAGCTAATCTGTTTCTACACCCCTTTTTGGAGTTCATTTTCAAAACAGATGAAATTGGTAGGGGAACGGGGGGGTGGGGTGGGGGTATTTAAATATTATTATAGAATTGATCTGACACATCCTGTATTGTGTTCCTAGAGAATGCAAAAGGCTATAGTTAAAAACAAACAAAAAGAACCCTACTTGTGACCATTTTACTCAAGTTTAGTTTCTACAGCATAGCATTGAGATGTTCAAAATGTACATGTGAATAACATAACTACTCATCAGTTAGACTAGATGTAAACTGCAGCATTACATTTTTAACAGTGTAAAGAAAATACAACAGGCCCATGTTCACACTGCAGGCTACAGAGTAAAAAAATGGGATAAAGTTCTCCTATTTTGTTCAGCTGTATAGATGCAGTAATCTCCAAGGACAGCCTTGAGAGCCAGGGTGGATAGTGTAATAAAATACCTGCACAGTGTAGAGTAACAATGGGAAGACCGATACGAAAAAATTACATTAAAATCGAACACTAGTATGACTTCATCAGCCTCTGTAATGCAGCCACAAACTATGACCAGTCCTGTGATTTATGTACGGTAAGATTTTACAAAAAACAAGTAATAGTTACTCTAAAAGGAGAAGAATTAAAAAGAACACGGCACAAAACCTGCGAGGACCATAAGGAAACCCAGTCGGTTCTCATTTTTACCATACTCCATACCAGATTAAAATACAATTCAGTTTAAAGCAAACAGAAGAAATACATGCACTGGCTTCTGTGAATGCTTAACATGATAAAATTTGAGTTATTTAAATGAAAAGCACCCTTTTGGTTTGATAATCCATAGACATATCCCCCGTGTTTTAAACATGATGGCATACTTCTTTGCTCCAACATATTCCAGCAGAAGACTGTTCCATTGTGGAGTCCAAGTCTACTTTTGATATTCTCTTCTTTGGATACCCTAAATTTTGACCATACGCTGTTCTACTAATCATTACTTGTCATACATTTTACTTGAAGAAAGATAACAGGTTTTGAGTCGTTTTGCAGTAACGAAACGTTCAGATACCTTTTAGGCTCTTACCTTCAAGCAGCTATTTCAACTTTTACAGCACAGGAACTGATGCTTAGCCATGGTTTTTTTGGCTGCTATTATCACCAGGATTTTTAAAAAACAGGGGTTGGAAAATGTAAAAATGAATTGCCCACAAAATATGATCTAGTTATCTTGGTAACAAATATGTAATTTCAGTCTTTAGAAAACATTTTGTATTATTATTTTGCACTAGTTGATAAACTCTGCTATTGGTATACGGGAATTTGCTCATCATACTACCGTTTCAAGTGAGGCTATGTTCCTTTCTAGCTTGGATAGATACCAGTGCTTGCATCAACCTGTATTGGGAGTGGGAGGATTCAAGATGAGTTTCAGATCTTCAAGATAACAGGGACAATACAATTTCTAAAACTGCTGTGCTTCTTGGAGATTTGATCTGTTGTATATAGTGTATACAGATATACAGTACAGATTGTACTGTTCTTGTGACTGAAGAAAATTTTGAAGCGTCTGAAAAATTTTGCACTTTGAAAATATTTATTTTCCATGTAACTAAAAATTATATTGGCTTGGAGGAAACTTCTTCTTTCCTAATCAAACAGTCTGTATGCTAATTTAGGGCAGCTCTGCTTTATAGACTTATTTCCTCATCTATTACTTAACTGAATTCAGTATTTATATGATACTCATGTATTTAGGAAGACTATCTCCTTAGTAACAGTCAACTCAGTGCTAGCTACAACTCCACACACAATATAGGAAGCAGTCTAGGAGTCTGAAAAACCTTTGTCTAAGGATTTTGCAGCCTGATAAACCCCACTGGGAAACTAACCTTTAAAAGCCTGTCACTAGATTTTTGCAACTTTGGAGCTACCATTTTAATTTAAACTGGCTACTGGCTGCTCTCAGAACAGGAGAGGCCAAATGCTGTCATGCCTGCCGTATCTGTTTTGGGTTGAACTCTGCCCAAAAGCTGAGTGGCAGCAGGGCACAGCTATAGCTCAGCAGTTCTCCAGACAGCGGAGATTGCTTTCTTTGTGAACTTTGGCAGGTCACAGCAATTTCCCTCCAATGCAGAGGGTTAACGTACTGCCATTCAGTTCCGAGCTTTCAGGACTCTTCTGCCTATCCCAGAGCAGCCACTGAAGTGTCACACCCAAATAGCACAACTCGGCTATCTTAGTCTAAAAATTTGCATGTGTTTAAAAATTATATAGTCCTATATACTGGCAAAATGTAGATGAAATTATTTGTGACAAGCCAGTAAAATCATGTTGGATGACAAGTTTAAGACTTTTTAAACAGATTTCTTCTAATATCACAATAACTGGAAAGACAGAGTCAGGGAGTGACAGATGGTATCTTAACAACTTTGTGAGAACTCCACAGAGCTGAATTACTATTCATCTTCGCTTTATGGAGGGTTGTTCAAGTAATACTGCTTTTTCTATTAGGTATTTACCTGCCACATTCACGAACTCTGCTTGTTATAAACAAACAAGAAGTTTAGCATGTAAGATACCTGAATTGGATGCATATTTTGGATTTAAACGTAAGTTTCAATAGGATTTTTACTGGCCTTCACAGCTGAATAGCCATCTAAAAAAGCAGACATTTCTGTCCTCCCATTTCTGCTGCATATACAGAGCTGAGCTAAAACTGCAGGCCCTGTACCCATGTAAATGCAAGGGCCGCTTTCCAAGAGAAAGTGAAAGAGAGAAAAGTGCCCAAGAGAGACAGAAAAATCTCTTGTATCAACATGACCTTTGGCCTAGTCCCAGGTGAAGACTGGGCCAAAGGCCAGATCAACTTAACTACTCTAAAACATTAAATCAACTTTTTTTTTTTTTAACATATACTGAGCTACCTTAAAAGCAGAAGCATTTTTTCAAGTGTAAAAACAATGATATCCATAATTGTGCACTGAAAGAGTAACACATACAGCAAACTGCTATATGCTGAATACCACACACAAATCCACGCCATGAGTGAATGTACAGATACCTTAAATCAACTTTTTTTTTTTTAACATATACTGAGCTACCTTAAAAGCAGAAGCATTTTTTCAAGTGTAAAAACAATGATATCCATAATTGTGCACTGAAAGAGTAACACATACAGCAAACTGCTATATGCTGAATACCACACACAAATCCACGCCATGAGTGAATGTACAGATACCCAGCTGTACAGGGTTCACAGGTGCATCTTTAGAATTTAAAAAGAAAAGCAGTGTTGCTGATCTGCCGTCTCTCAATTTCTAGAAGCCCAGGATATGACTGAAGTGCCCCTAAAATGACAAGATTTCATGTCACTAAAAATTATCTCATCAAATCCTGAAGTCTTTTTTTCAGTATATATTTTCAAACTTTACTTTAAAAGAAACTGACAGTTCCACTAACTGCATGACAAATGTTCCCTTTTATTCCTGAAGGACTAGTGGACAACTAAAAAGCCTGGACAGTAAAGGGAACGTTCAGTGTAATCTGTATAAGCAGCATGACTGAGTTACGATACTTGTTTTGCACATGAAGTTAAAATATACCCATACAGAATATAGACAATTTTACCATCATACTTCTATCTATAACACCAGATACCTTATTCTATGTAACCATTAAACATTTAAAGATTTTGAGCATAGAACAGAAATTTACTTTCTGGTTGGCAACTTATTTTAAACTCAAGTCTGCATTTGTTTGTATCACATTGTATTTGTTTAAAGAATGTATTCACAGTAATACTTTTAGAACAAAAAAAGTTTTATCTCTAGCTATCATGTAACACAGAAAAATCTCAAGAATGATGGTGGTGTTCTCCCTGCCCTGAAATCCTACCTAGCTTCCTTCTACTTAACACCACTTCTTCCTCTTCTTCTAAGTCCCTGCCTAAATAGTCCATAACACATTAGTCCAAAGAAAGCTTACAAAAAATGCAACTAAAGTAGTACTCTTTTCTCAAATTGTGGTTTAATCCACTTCTTATTCCTTCTGAAACATGTGGTAGTCATTAATTGTAGAAAAAGAGGTCTAAAAGTTGAAAGAGCAAACCTAATAGTGATAATGCCTTTAAATACATGTTGAAGTTCACAGCACTTACGGTAGTGACACAGAAATAAATGTGTTCAGGAAAGCTGATGTTAGTGAAGTTCCTCACATGGCTGATTAGCTCCATAAATATCAGGATTTCTTGATGCAAAATACAATCCTGATAAGACTACCCACAGCAGTGAAAAACTGTCTCAGCCCAATATGCTTTGTGTTTGACTTGTTCCAGTTAGGGTATTTTAATTTATTTGAATTTCCCTACCATCAGTAGAATAAAGCTTCTGATAGGATTTTAACATTATCGATCATGAAAAAAAATTACAACATCCTTTATCTTGCTACCTGTAGGCTCCTCCTTTCTGTTCATTTCAGCTGTTCTGAAGGACTTCCATAATGCATGTTAATCACTGTGACAGTCTCTGATTTCCCTGAAGTGAAATTTTAACTGTGAAGAAAGTTATCTGAGCTCTTACCAGCTTACTAGACATTATACTCTAAACATAAGCTTTTTATTATTTAAAAAATGAAAAAAGTTTACTACTATAATTCCTACCAAATTTATTGAAATATAACTGTATTACCTGTTATGTTACCGGACACAAATAACTGATTATCCAAAAAAGAACACAATTAACAAATCTATATGATCAGTTCATCATCCACAGGTAGCGGGGTTATAGACGAATCATGCTGTGAATGCAAGGACACTCACACAAGCCGGTTTATATCAGGGTGGATATGTTAGCTCAACATGACGTGAATTCAGCTATGCCGCAACACAATTCTGGCTGCTCTAGTCCTGTCTTTGTGTGGCAGTATGTCCAAACTAGCAAACTCTCCTAACAGGAACTGGGAGCCAAAGAGAGTCCCTCCTCTCTGCAAGAGCAAGCTATCAGTGCAAAAGCAGTCATATTTTTCTTTATCCAGATTGTTCCGGCCCCATGACTGAAATAATGGAGAACTGAATATATATGCTAACTTCATTATTCCATTACCAAACATTGTATATTACTCCTTGAACTCTAATTTATATTTGACATTTTGCAACACACATGGGCAAACTTTTCCCCCCACTACAGGGTACGTCACGGAAATCAGAATCATATTTAAAACCAGTCATATTTAAAATCACCCTGCTTTGGGCAAAGCGTTTTCCATTTCAACTCAACAATATGAGGCTAATTTAGCAACAAGTCTAGTGTGTAGCTCTACAAGGGCTCCAGATTTTTATAACACTACCTTGAGTTTCTATATTGAAAGCACAGAAGGACAGGCAAGTAGAAAATTTGTTTAGTTTTGAGATTCCAGTTCTCACTGAGTAAAGTTAGCAAGTTGTTTTCCTTTTTTCTTATAGCTGTAGCTGAAAAACATTTAAAAGTGAATAGAACAGGTCATCCATTATAACCAAACTTCAATACGTAAATGTTTGTGGAGGAGGTGAATGTTACCCCCTCAAGTTATCTGTTTTTTATCTCAAGTTCATTACTAGGCCATAGGAAAAGAAGTCAGGCTAATCTGACTTAAAATAGAAATGGTGTTATTTGGAATTACAGTATTTGTACTCATGTTACATAAAAGCAATCATAATTTTCCAAAATTAAGTGGTCACTGATATAGAAGAATTTTACAAACTCTGATGTTGTCACTGTAACTCTGGAATACAACAAAACTGACTTCCTAATGTGCCGATTTGGGTTTTAATCCCAAGATGTTCTTTTCTTTTTTGGGTTTTAATCCCTGAGATGTTCTCCATGCCCCCAAAGATGGTAACGCGTCTGGAAAGTTCAAACTTGGTAATCCACATAGGTGGTCATACTGGTTTCTATATTCCTAAAGTCAGCTCTGGATCTGGTTTCTATTTTATTTTTAAAGATGAGCAGAAATAAATTAACATAGAATCATAGAATAGTTTGGGTTGGAAGGGACCTCTAAAGGTCATCTAGTCCAGCCCCCCTGCCATAGGCAGGGACATCTTCAGCTAGATCAGGTTGCTCAGAGCCCCATCCAACCTGACCTGGAATGTTCCCAGGGATGGGGCATCCACCACCTCTCTGGGCAGCCTGCTCCAGTGTTTCACCACCCTCAGCATAAAAAATGTCTTCCTTCTATCTAGCCTAAATCTACCCTCTTTTAGTTTAAAACCATTCCCCCTTGTCCTGTCACAACAGACCCTGCTAAAAAGTCTGTCCCCATCTTTCTTATAAGCCCCCTTTAAGTACTGAAAGGCCACAATAAGGTCTCTCTGAAGCCTTCTCTTCTCCAGGCTGAAAAACCCCAACTCTCTCAGTCCATCTTCATAGGAAAGGTGTTCTCCTTCATAGCAGACATGGTAAATGTCTTTTCAGTCACAGCTGTTCACTTACGAAAGCATCCTCAGTCTCATAGCATTCAACAGAAACTTTGCCATTAATTCCATCAAATCAAAGATTTTGCTATAAACATTCAGCCTTTCTGAAGAAATGCATGGCATTCCCCCACACCTCTCCTCATTTTTGGCTCTCTAAGGAATCCTGTTTGATGGTTCAAAAGGATGCAGAGGATACAAACAAAAGTCAAGGGTAGCTCCCATACATTTAAGAAACTTCCTAAACTTTGGTTAGACAATTTGCATGAAAAATGAAACTGCAGGAATACCATAACCTCTTTCACTGTTACCAGCCATTATCCCTTGAGGATTTTGGCCCTCTATCCAGGGGAAAAAAGAGACAGTGGTTAAGATCACTGCCATCTGTTAGTGGGAGACTGTAGGGCTACTGCTGCAGTATTACGGCATACTATATGGTGCCAAATCATAGCTGTGACTACAGCCTACATAAATAAAAAAAAATACAGGTTTTAACCAGCTTAATTTGGACACCAAAAGGAGCCTATTTGAATCAGCTCAGAAGTCAGCACTATTCAGCTGTCCAAATACTTGCACTGTTTTTCAGAAAAGTCAAATTGTCTGTGCCGAGCTCTGATCGCTACTGGTTTTTTAGCTAGCTCATTTAAAACTAGCTCTGGTATGTCTACAGTGTAATATTTTCAGGCTATGTCTAGTCTTTGGAAAGGAAGTATCCAATTAGAAGGAAAAACAGGAGATAGAATGGGATTCCTGAATATTTTATTATGATCCAGTAAATCAATGAAGATATAAAAATGGGGTAGAGGAAGTTGTGTGTTACTGTTTGCTTTAGTTACTTCCTAAACTCTGCTTTTTGGAGTGAATTTGAAAAATGTGTTCACAGTCTCCATATTTTCCAACTGCTGCTGGAAACATATTAGTTTGTGCTCTGCTGGCGTACCTCAGAAATGCTAAATCAATCTGCCTTCTTTTATTTACATGCTTTATTCCTGAGAAATGTAATTGCGGTTTTTATTAACTTTATGTTTTATGGATCTAATACTTAAGAACAAGTCTATCTTTTATGTCACAGAAAGAAGGTTAATGTACTTACAGATTCTCCAGCAATACATCTTGGGCAAGGCTGGGCAGTACCTCTGCTTCCATGGTTTTCAAAAATCTAATGAACAAAAACATATACGAAACCATAAAAAAAAAAGGGGGGGAGCATTATTTGCAATGTTATTATAAAATGTATTTTAAAGGTGTTCTTCTAAAAAATAGATGTTATTGACAGTGTAAACTTACCACTGAATTTTGCTTTGTCTTTGTAGTCCAAGGACCACAGTCAGGGGAGATTTTCTGTTTAGAATCCAGCTCCATGGCACAATCAATGAGGCGAGCATCAGCCTCATTTGGAATGGTTTCTAATGGCTTGCATGCTCGCTTCTGAAAGAATCAAAAGCAGTATTTACATACCTTCACAAGGCATAGGCCATTGAATAGAAGTTTTCAGGGTTTTATTGTTTATGACTGATAAGGATCTTGCATTCATTTGGAAGAACATAATTTAGTAACGGACTACCAGACACTAGGCCAGAACACCAAAATTTTGTATTTAACACCACATCTCATGCTGGATGAGCAGGGAAATCTGCAGATCTCCCTAAATGTCTCTGTGCCTCAGTTTCACAAACTGGGGATAAAATGCCACTGGGAAAAGAGCATACTTCACCCTCCATTAGCATATAATTTAGGATGGCATTTATCAAAGGAGCGGATCAGTGGAAGTTGTGTGAAATGACTAATTACATCAAGGAAACGGAAGGAAAACCCTGAAGCCAAGTCAGACAGCTATGAAGACATATTTTGTAATGATTTTTGTATCTTTCTCTGAATACCATCACCTTTTTACAGCTTTCCATTGCTATATAACCAATTAACTTCCCACTCTTGAAGCTCTAACCTGAGCTATTATCTAGTACTGAATGACACTTGGATGTCCTGCAAATCAAAGACACTCCACCTCCAGAGAAAGGGCTGGCCTAACCAGGGATGTCTTTTTCACAGTGCTTAGCAACCCAATGCAAGATCAGAGGTCCCCAGAAATACTGCTTTACTACTCCGTGAGAACCAGGTTAGGAACTGGTAAGGTTAAGATGCAAGTCTGTGGAAGACACTGATTGGAAACCTTAAGAAGAGTATCCTTGGCCTGTGACTGCTATCCCATGCAATGGGAGGACTACCTTAAATCCCAGGGGCTCCTTGAAATTGTAACAGCAAATTAACAGAATAATGGGAAATTTCAAAACTGACACAGACTTTTCAGGGTCTGACTCTGAATTCCAGAGAGATACACAAACTTTTGAAATTTTTTTCTGATGCCTTTCTGAACAAACTTTGTTTAAGGAATAACAATATTCAATCTCTTTCACAAGCATATGATTTCACAGGCAGAAGATGTGTTGCCACAGAACTAACAGACTACTGAAGCACGGAAACTAAATTTAAAATTTGAATATGTTATGCAAAAATAAGATGGATCAATACAACAGGAACCTCAGCGGAAAACAGTTGAAACGAGAACACTATCAAGGAATACAGGATATTTGGATGGAAAGTAAATCAAAAAGTGAAATATGTATTGTACTAAGAAAGTGAATAATATAATAACAAAAAGTCTGAGAAAGTCCTTTAAAGATAGACTGCCTTCCACTGGGAAAACATTCTCTCCCCTTTGTTGCTGCAGAACTCGTCCTTTATTAAAAGGTACAGCATAGCGGTACAGCAGCGTAAGTAGTAAGAAGTGTGAGATGAAGGAGAAAAGGAAAAAAAATTATTTACTGCCATACATCAGAAGAAATTTGGCTTATTAAAAATAAATTCAAGGTACTGGGTTTTTTTTGGGGGGGTGGAGTAAGATACTTAGCATCAGTGACAGGAATTCAGCATACAGAGTAGATGGCTGACAAACTTCTCATACCAGTGCCAAGACAATTTGTGGAAGTTTCTAGCAGAGGCTAGCTTCAGGGAAGACTTCACTCTCTGGAATTCTCTCTCTTAGGAAAGAAACAATCAATACATCAATCCTGCCTGCGCACAGAGCACACTTAGTGAAGGATTCAAAGAGCCTGTGATTAGTAAGGATCAATGAGCTAGCTACTCAAAAGGCAAGCAAGGATTTCATCAGAATGACTACTTTTGTTAGGGAATGATCATGCTACATCCAGCTTGGAAAAGTAGTTTAAGGCAAGCAATAGCAAATCACACACTGTCCTACACCAGGCAGAAAACAGGTCTCTCTGCAGAGAAGATATTCTGTAACTTTCTTTTCCAGCTGGAAAGTCCTGGAAAACACACATGCATTTTCACTGATGCTGAGAGGATGAAGGCCTCACAGACGTTGCTTTTCATGAACAGTGAAACTAAACTGGTGCAAAAACTAGCTACATCGAAATAACTAACCTAAATGCAACGGAATATATTTAAGAAAGACTACCACTAGCCTTTTTATTTTTTTTTTTTAGTTTAGCTGTAAGATTTGAAAGATCTCCTATAAATTTAATATGTTCATCACAAGCAATTTCTGCTTTGTTTACCACATTTTTAAAAGCCAGGCTAGCTTCTGTTTCGTGTTTCATAAACAGCTGTCCTATAGGTATAAAACAGGTTTCCATCCAGCCCAGCTTTACTTATTTTAGCTCTACTGGATACCTTTGTGGAAAGGACAATGGTGGCCATGTGTAGATGCTCCGCATTATTAGGGCCCAGCTCCCTACTGAAAGAGGTGCAGATGGCTCAGTTTGGGAAAGTAGAAGGAATGTGAGGTCCATGCAGGTCCTTGTTCTGGGAAACTTTGCTCACAGTCCAGTCCAAACCAGAACACACCATGTGATTCGCTGTAGCCTAGAAAAATCTATTATTCTTTACTGGCCTCTAAATCCAAATGCCTTAAAACGAGTAAACATCAATGAGCTCCATCCTAAAGCAAGTTTCTGAAATACATGCAAATAACTATGTGAACGTACAAAAGGAAATCATATGTACATACATATAACATACAGTAGGAGCTGAAGGAGAGCTGAAAAAAATGTAGGGAATCTTCCCCAGCTACAACAGCCACTAGCACAGGACACTGCATGATAGCAGCATCAAATAAGAGGATGGCTATGACTTCAAAATAGTTGTCTCCCCAAACCCAGGGATCAGTCTGGCCCTGTTTGCTTCAGTTAGTAGAGCTGAGTTTGGAGCTCCCCTCCCTGAGCGGCGGATTCGGCGACAACATCTCTGCAAAGGTCGGCTACAGCGTTCATAATGACTTCAAGCCCCAGTACTGGCAATGGCTTAAAACCTGAAGAGGGCAGAATCCCAAGAAGAGTGACAAATGTTCTGATATTAGACCTAAAATGTGCAAAACTCTGTACAGCATCACAGCTGTACGAGTTACACAGTAAAGCACCTTGTCTGCATTGTCACTAGGGCTCATGCTGTTAGCTAAAAGCCAAAATAGAATATAGTTGTCAATCATTTGGCTAAAAAATCCCCGCACCACAGTGAGCAGGTACTAGAAGATGGAGAGCACAATTTCATTAGTATGCATCACCTCAACAGTCATAAAGGTTAAGGGTAGGTGTTTCACCTCATGTTTGTGATCGAGCATGTGACTGCAGCAGCTCAACTGTTCACTTGAGCTCATTAAGCTGTGATGACTCAGTTGTAATCTGGACCGTAACAACCGCTGTTATAGAAAGAAAACAATCTCTAATGTCTTGTCTAGGCTACTTTACATAGAAAATGTTCTGAACTGTAATAAGGAAAGTTCTCTTTTAAAACTACCTTGCAGAGCTTGACTCATGTATTTTGCTATCTACAGAGGTGGCAACAGCAATTCTGAGTTGCTCTCTGTCATAGAAGTTTCAGAAGAATTTTATCTGGTCTCCAGACAACTGGTTCATTAATGCCTTTGTCAGTGGACAAACTGCAATTCACGAACAAGAAGAAAGCTATTATTTGCCTCTCTAACCTCAAAACCAGGAAAGAAGCAATTTCTCCTATGTAACCTTGTCAGTCACAGTCAGAAAGTTCACTGAACAGATGTTCCTCTTCCTCTCCGAGAATGGTATTCCTCTGATAAATGAGACTAGCTCCTAACTACTCAAGTTTTTGCTCAAGTCACACATGAACAGGGATGATGAAGTAACAGTGGGGAGAGTGTGATCATGAGGGTTAAGTTTTGCTTGGAACTCCTGTTAACTTCTGCAAAGTTAACAGCTTGGCACTTATTAGGAAGAAAGATGCTTACAAGGTGGTAGATGACAGACACCTTTTCGGAATGAATCCAATTTGAGAAATACACACACACAAGCTTAGCTGAAATGGAAAGCTATTCCAGAAGCGCAACATATAAATGCTAAACACACCATTCTTGTGAGGCTCATCCTGGAGCCAGGACAGCAGAAAATGGACAGCATTAACAATGCCACCTGGTAAAGCGGGTATCAGTCAAAAAAAAAAAGCAAAACCAAAAAGCTTGTTTAATGAAATTCTACTTAAAATTATGAGAGTGTGCGTGCAGACTCCCTGTCTCCAGGCAGACCAAAAGCTCGATGGCGCTTACACAGCACTAACTTCGAACAGCGGTACCAGCCCGCGGATGGCCGCACTCCGTCCG